GGCGGGCCGCCGTGCGCCCGGGCCTCTGGGAGCCGCAGCCCGGCGGCGCGGCCTGGCTGGGAAGACGCTCGGCCTGCTTTTGGGGGCACGGAGGCAAGCTCGGACTCTGTGGTGAGCGCCGACCGCCCGGAAAATGGCGGTCGGCCTGGAGAGCCGCGCAGTCCCGCAGCACCGAAGGCTCCAGAGGCCCCAGAGGCCGGTGGCCCAGGGCCTTTGGGGTTACAGATGATGCCTGGAGCGAAGGCCGAGGAAATGACCACCAAGATGTGCACCGTCTCAGCGCCCTCGGAAAAGGAGGGGAAGGCAGAGGCGGTGATGGAGGAGAAGGTAGTCCAGACGGAAAAAAAGATGGCTGGAGCAGGACAAGAGGAGACAAGGCCCGGGGCCCCGAAGGTCAGTACCTGCATGGACTCGCTGGAGGCCATCGATCAGGAGCTGTCGAACGTAAACGCCCAGGCTGACAGGGCCTTTCTCCAGCTAGAGCGCAAATTTGGCCGGATGCGGAGGCTCCATATGCAGCGCAGGAGCTTCATCATCCAGAATATCCCAGGTTTCTGGGTTACAGCCTTTCGGAACCACCCGCAGCTGTCTCCTATGATCAGTGGCCAAGATGAAGACATGATGAGGTACATGATCAATTTGGAGGTGGAGGAGCTTAAACATCCTAGAGCAGGCTGCAAATTCAAGTTCATTTTTCAGAGCAACCCCTACTTCCGAAATGAGGGGCTAGTCAAGGAGTATGAGCGAAGATCCTCTGGCAGAGTGGTGTCTATTTCCACGCCAATCCGCTGGCACCGGGGCCAGGACCCCCAGGCCCATATCCACCGGAACCGGCAAGGGAACACAATCCCCAGTTTCTTCAACTGGTTCTCAGACCACAGCCTTTTAGAATTCGACAGAATTGCTGAGATTATCAAAGGGGAACTGTGGTCCAATCCCCTGCAATACTACCTGGTGGGTGAAGGCCCCCGCAGAGGAATTCGAGGCGCACCAAGGCAGCCTGCGGAGAACCCCAGGTCCTTCAGATTCCAATCCGGCTAACTTACGTCCTGTGAGAAGCTCCTGCACAACTTTTACCGACCTCGATGCTTGGCCAGCAGCATGCAGCGTGCAGTCTTCCGTCTCTTCTGTCTTCTTGGATTATTTTGGCCTTTGGTTCTCCTAAATCTTCAGCAGTGGCAGTTGTCGCTTATTTGCCTCTGGGCTTTCCCGTTGTTCTGCGTTGTGTTAACATGTTCCCAGCTCATGGCCTGCTGTTTCTGTGCCAAGCTCATGATACTGCCTTCCTTTGCATGGCTTGGGTTCCGTGACCATGGTCTTCTCAGAGTGTTTTAAGTGGTTCTCTGCCACAACAAAGTTCGATGCATCTTTGCAAATAATCAGGCAGGCTTCCTACTTTATGCTGGCTGTGCTCCTGATAGCCATGTACTGTGACTGTCTTGAGTTTCACCACTGCAAGATGAAATTGATACCCCAACCAGGCTGCCATCAACTCAGACTTGACTGAACATTCCAGCTACCGCTGTCTGGTTCCTAGACGTTTGTTATCCATCCTGCTGGTTATCTGGTAGAACAAGCAGGTAGTTCGTGGGTGACTACCTAGGCATGGGTGAGGTGATACATGCAGAGTGTTTTATGATGTTGATTGGTTGTCCGTTTGGTTACTGTACATCATGATCAGCTTCTGGTGGGTCTGAAATGCTTCAGTGCACACTTGTCTCCTGGTTGAACTTTGCACAGGTTACCACTGTCTGTCTTAGGAACCTGCCTCCATCTCATGATTACCCATCAACCCAAGTGGTAGTGCCCAAATCAAGGCAGGGATGGGTTCCTTCCAGCAGTTAGCCTTTGTGAGCCCTGTGCTACAATCTGAATATAGGCAGCTCTGTTAGACAAACATCTTTACCCCTTCCATGCCCATGCTGAATGGGGCAGTGGTCTTGAGTGGGGCCACTGAGGCTTTTCAGGAACATGGAGGAAGCTTGTTATGCTGCTCTTACTCTTTTCTTTTCCTGTCTCCCTCCCCTGCCTCTTTGTGTGGGAGTTGCAGCTTAGAGACAGAAAACAAAAGTGATAGAGCAGTGTTTTTGTTTCTTTGATTTCCTTTAGGATGTGTACAGAGAAAGGTACTATAAAATAGATTGCATATCTCTTAATGCCGTCATTTCTGTGCTCCATTTTTTTTTTTTTTTAAGCAAGGTCAAAAAGTTTCAAAGGGCGATCTATAGGTTAATTGCTTAATACTGAGTGTTCTTTTAGGATAATCCCACCCTTTTCTCTTATCCAACCCACCACATCCTGCGTTTCTTAAGCTTTAGTTTGAGAAGTTAGGAGTAAGAGAAGGCTCTGAGTGATGGGTTCAAGACAGACCCTCAGCAGGATCAGCTAAAGCAACTAAAACTTCATTTTTCTAAGAGGGCAGTTTTTCTGGGTGTTTTGGACTCTAGAGAAAATCCAACAGCAGTTTGTGGGTAACCCCATTTTAATTACTGCGCTGCTGTCCCAAAAGGCTCATTCTGACTGTGTGGCTTTCTTGGCCTTCATTCCTCAACTTGTGAATCTTTCCCCCTGCTTTTCGTCCTAACAGGTAAGGGGCCAGGCTACAGCCAGTGTGGGAGATCCCACAGTGGATCCAGGAGTTCCATCAGATGAGATAGCAGTGCTATGAGGGCTGCCTTAGTTGTGAGCTGCCCCCTTCTTTGAATGTGCTGCCCTCTGCCCCATGAAGGCTTAAGCAAGTCTGGACACAACCAATGGAGTGAGTGCTCTAGTTAAGTAGGCCCAGAAGCTGAAATTGAGCATGGTGTGAACTGGCTTTACAAGGCTCCCATTAAACCCTGAAATCCTGTAGGATCAGGGATGGGAGGGAGACCTCTGAGGCGCTTTCCAGGTACAGGCAGGCTGGAGAATCAAAGGGTTGAGGTTTAAATAGGATGCTTGGAGGATTTCCTCCAGTTTTTCCAAATTTCTTGAATTCACCAATAGATTTTTGTCAACAAATGTGCAAACATGGATATTTTCTCTTATCCTAGGAGTCATCTTTATATATGTGGAAGATTAATGGTATATACTTATTTCACTGTTTGAATAAAATCTTTTTTTCTTACAGCCTATTGGGAAAATTGATGTTTACAGGGCTGCTTTTTGCTTGTCATGGAGAACATGTACAAAAATGTCAAATTTGTGTCCTGTGCAGTGTGAAGACTTCTGTGACTGTTCATGAATAGATTAGTTTGTTCTGGTGTCTTCGTATATAGCTTTATTCTTAGGAATATAATTTGAATGTGATCTTCAAAAAGTGAAGATTTTGCAAATTTTTTTTATTATGTCTTGTGAAAGTATTCTCAAAAACTTGTGTCTTTATATCCCTTGCCTTACTAATAATGTACTTGACATTTATGTTGTTAACCAGCATAAGTACTAGTAGAATTGCTGTCAAACTAAAAGAGAATCTGGAAGGAAAGGTAAAATATCATTGCTATTTTTGTTTTCACCAAAAAAAAAAAAAAAAAAAAAAAAGAATAAAAAGTTCTGTGCTGTCCAGATTAGTAAGATTGGCAAATCACTAAAATTATCAAATGGTCACAGGGAAATTAGGAATTTTGTCACTACTTCTCACAGGGCTTTGTAGACCAAGATGGTAATACTTCTTTTATGCCCAAAGGATGACAGAATCTCCTAACTGGTCTGGAGGTCTGCCTAAAGAATAAGGTCCAGAACTGAGAAAAAAAGCAAAGCATTGCAAGGAGCAGAGCAGGACTTTTGCAGTGAACTGAATAGTTTGTGAGACAATATGTCTAATAGCCTGAGTTAATGACTAGTTAAGAGATTACTTACCCTCCAAACCTTTATAAAGTAGAAGCTGAGTAGTAAAATTATCATTAGTAGTAACTGAAGTTGTGGTGTTTGTTACCATGTTTTTTCTAGATATATTTCATTCTTAATAGTTTAGGTATTCTTTTTAAAGCACCACAGTGCTTTAGGAAAATAATTTAAGTAGCATTTACAGAATCTAGTGATTGATTCTTCCAAAAGTCTTATCTTGGGCTCCTTAAGAGAATTAGGCCAAGAGTAGCATAGTTAACATAAATGTAGTAAACAAAAATGGTGTTTAGATAATGCTTTTCCACAAAATACTATTTTAAATGATAAAAATACAGGTGTTTCCCTTACTGCCCAAACTGCACTGGTTGTGTTGGAAAAATTTCCTGCTTTCTTTAACTACATGCAACTATTAAAGAATAAAGCTGCTTTTCTTTTTTAATATTTAAATTTTTATGGTGCCACTTTTTGGTTGTTATTACTCATTTTTACTCTTCATATCCAACTGGAAAACACTGCCACTTTATAAACAAAGAAAGAAACATTTCACAGTCTAATTATAGTCCAGGCAAAAGAAATTCATTTGAGTCAGCATTGACATACTAGAAAGGTGGAAGGAAACAAACTATCCCCTCTTTTTAGAAGATGGAAAAAGCTGATGTCAGCTTAGGTGGTAACTGTTCAGGATCTTCAGATAAGACCAGTAAGAGTAGGACTGGAACTTCTGGCATGAGAATGTTTTCTATTCCTCAGTGGCTGAACATATAATTTTTTACTTTGGGGTTGTCATTTTTCTTCTTAATAGCAGTTGAAAGTATTCACAGGTTTTTTTGTTTTGTTTTTATCATTTATAGAATAAACGAATAAAGAAAAATAACTTTATTTTTAAAAGAAATCATATTTCTATTTACACATGAGATCTTTCATTGAGCCCTAAACTTGATTGTGTATTTCAGTGACATTTTGGATATCAGTTTCAAATATAGTTACTGGCAGATTTCAAACAAAGCTACTGACTGAGGAAAAAAAAGTCAATAACCTAGTACTTACCCTGAGATATTTATTTCTGCAGTATATTTGGGATTTATCAGAGCATTTACAAATCACAAAAGAAGTTATCTTTTCATTATGTTTCATATGCTCAATCCTCTGCTACAACCCAAGTAAAATAACGATAACAACCAGTTTTGTTTTCTGGTCCTGTCCAGTATGGATAGTGAAGTTGTAGCATAAAGCATAGTCACAACCTTAGTAACTTTATTGCCTGCCTCCAAACATGTTTTCATAAATAGCTACTAAGGGAACTAAAGACAGCATACAGAACACGGCAATCTTGGATTATAGCATACCTGAAAGACTTAATGCAGTTTTCCTGTTTTTTTTTTTTTTTGTTTTTTTGTCATCACCCTCTTGACCAAGGAGAAAATAAAATTTAACTCAGATTTAATTAACAACTATAAATTTCTCTAATGAGCAAAATTAATTGTTAAAGATTAAGGTTGGGGGGCAGGGCTGAACATTGGAAGGTCATAATCTTTGTCTTGAAAATGCATACCTTAAAATTACTGAAAATGAAGAAGCAACACTTAGGGGAAGAAAAACTAGTGGGAAACTATGGAGGTTGAGAGAGTTGGCTTGTAGTACTCTGCCCCTGCTTATCTCATTTCTGAAAAGAAGAACAGTATGAAACCTAATAGCTTGAAAAAAATCACATAAAGCCCCAGATTGCTGGGACCCACTGCCAGGGTTTCTGATCTAGTGGGTTTTGGGAAGCCTTTCAAATTTGCATTATCAAGTTCTACGTGCTGCTGTGCTCTTAGTCTAGCATAACACTTTGAAAACCACGGGGCTAAATATATGTATGTGTGCGTGTGGGTGTGGTTGTGTATACACCTCCCCAGGGAAATTCTAATCTCTAAACTATTGATATGGAAAATATCAATGTTCTGTTCACTTCTAAGATACTTAGATTTTAATATAGTAAGAGTTAAGCATCAAATAGTTTATACAAAATAGACTTATGCACAAATACCAATTACTTGATCATTTTCACAAAAACTTGTTCCTACAAAGCATTTTACAATATTTTTTGAAAATTAACATTTTTAATAGCACATTTGGTACATATATGGTTTTTCACTCCATTATAATTTGTTTTATTGTCAGTGTCTCATCATTTGATAAGGCCGTTGGTATAATGGACCAATGGATAGTAGCCAGCTGTTTTTGAACTGTTTGAAGAGAATCTTGCAAACTTGTAGTCCAGGGGTAATTCTAGGGAGAGAAAAAAAAAAAAACAAAAAAACACAATTTGATGATTCTGTAGGTTCCCAAATACATTTCGTAAATATAAGAAGATCAAAAGTTGATACCCAGTTTTAGAATTTCTAAATTTAGTATTTCTTTTGCCCCTCCCCCATAGGTGGCGTCTAGGATGAAGAGTATAGATGTCCTTCCTTGTTAAAGTTTACAATAATACTTAAACAACAGAGCTCTAGTGAGTGAGTTTTAGTACCCTATACAAATTAACACCTAAAATAAGAATACTTTTCTGATTTAGAAACTTAACAAAAAAAATCAGGTTCTACTCAGGGGATCAAATAACTTTCAAATGCAAGTGAACTCTTCATATCCCTAAGCACACAGTAGGGGTTACTAATAATCTTTGAATAGTTAGCAAAATAGGAACATGCATAATATGGTACTTCTATAACATAGGCATCACACATGCACACACAGAAGTAGGACTAGGAGAAGAATCAGAAGAAAGAACATACACTGAATACTTTATTGATGGTAGCACACTCTCATATCCACATAACAGGCTTTTAAAGATCTTAGCCTTACCTGAATTTCTCCAAGGAAACATAACTGGAAGTATTCTATGTGAAGCCTAATTATGTATGTCATGTTGTTCATTCCACATGTAGATAACAGGGCAGTAATATTTATATCACAAATTTTATAAGTAAAATATTTAGTAGTATTGAACATTTTGAAAATGCTATTGGCATAAATTACAATTTATAAATAGATGCCCCTGAGAATCATCGAGTCTTAAGCAGTTAATCTTTATGAGAACAAGCACTGCTTTCTGAATGCCAGAGAAAGCTAGGATTACCATGAATGGAAAAACATCCAGCATTAGTGCATGGCATTGGTGTACTCAATGTTTTATTGGCTGGAGTATATTTTGAGCCATGCACTGGGAAGTAACCTGGTAACAATGAGTTTCTAAAAATCATACATCTGAGGTCCTGGATTTGATAAATCATCAAAATGATACAGAACAAGTGGAGCCAGCTAACCCTCACTGCCTTACCATGTCCTAGAGGAAATGCACACATCTCTGTGTAGCTATTATTATGTTAAAAAGATTACCTTGTAAGAATGCTTACGAACCAAACACTGTTGTTGTATATATGGTTAAGTACAAACTTTTCTAACAGCTCCCCATCCCCAAAGTCTCATGTAGTCAGAGGTGGGACTTTGGAGAAGTGATTGGAGCAGGGGCATGCCTTACTTCTGAGTGAATTAATCCATCATTGAGTTCACTGTTGAACGTGCTGTTAGAAGATGGGCTTGATGAACAGGTGGCTTACTGGGGGCACATGTATTTCCATCACTCCATTCACCGCTGGTTCCTGGCTGCCATGGGAGGAGTAGCTTTCCTCCACCGTGCTTTCTGCCTTGGAGCAGCAAATTATGGACTAAACCTACTGAATTGTGATAAATAAAGTAAAACTCTTACACTGTGTGTGTGGGATACTGTCCCAGTGATGGGAAGGTGATTAACACAAGCTGTAAAAATGGCTTCTAGGTATTTACTTGTGAATGAGATAACCACGTCTAATAAGAGACAAAAGAGGAGCACAAAACTTTATTTTTCAGTCTTGTCTCACTCCAAACAAATAATTTTATTCTGTGTCCCAGGTTAAAAAATCAATAAAAAGGTCTAATTTAAAGAAATCTGGGTATGGGATAATCAAACTGAGTCAACTGTTCTGTTAAAACAAGGACCCCCAGGCTAAGGATTCATAGGGTTGTGGATTCAGCAAAAAGAAAGCATTGACATTTCTGTTATAGTCATTGTTGGGTGCTATTTGGAAGAAAAGAGAAAGGGAGGAAAAAACCAAACTTGCTTACCACAGCATTCTTCTGTTAAACACTGCACATTATGCACACTATACTATCCACATTTGGTTAACAATTAAAACAAAATGAATAAATACTCTTCTACAGTAAATTCAACATCAAGTAATACACAAATTAACTTTTGGGACTTAAAGAGATTAGCAGCATTACACACAAACAGCTTACACTTAACACATCTGAAGCCAATTAACAGTAGTGCCCAGCTGTACTGACTTACTGACATGATTAACCTGAAGTTCTGTGTGAGAGGTCTCCTTAAGAATGTGATCATAGCAGAGTGCTAACTTACACTAATACTTTGCTTTTTGAGGAAGTGTCTTGAACATCAAAATAAACAATATGACAGAACAACTCTTTCTCATTCTCTCCCTAGAAAAAATGGACACTTGTTTACTTTTGTTTGACTGTTGGCAAATCTTACTTAATACAGTGGCACCTTGGTTCACGAATTTAATTCGTTCCACGATTCTGGAAAACATGATTACATTTATGTTTGTGCAAGAAAGATGGCTATGGTCGTGTTCATCACAAAAGCGTTCGTGAACTGAAGTAGCACTGTATTTTCTTCTGAGAAAAGTTGGATGGAAGACAAAGGTCCTGCCAATTTCTCCTTTACATTACTGTGAAGAAAGCTTTTGGAATATGAGAAAAGGCGATTCCTATATGCAAGCTCCACAGGGCAGGGCTCTTTGTTTTGTTCTCTGATGTGTCACAAGTAGCTAGCACATAACAGGCACTCAATGAATGTTTTGTTTAATTTAAAAACAATGATTATAGTTAAGGAGAAGAAGTTGGACAAAAATACAAATATCACAGTGAAATCACTGGAGAGCTGAAGAGAACCAACACTTGAAGCATACAATTCAGGAAGAAATAATAATCAGAAAGGTGATCTCCCAATCTGCCACAGTTCATCCTTACTCTAAGGTAGAGCTCAGCTTTTCTGCACAGGGTCAGGGAGCTGCTAGGCCCACCCCTCCTTAAGCACATGCTTTCATCCAGTTCTTATCCCTGTGGGTCCACGGTGTTCCTGAGTGGCCCACTTACCCACTTTGGTGGGCTCTCTGGAAACAGCCGACACCCACAAGGGAAAGCAGCCCAAAGACAAGTTCAGTTCTTTTTACTACTAGGGAAAACCTGTGGCATTTAGTACATATTAGCTGTAAGTCAATACCTGGGTTGCCTCCAGGGTTATATAATGATTACTACTTTTTTCTCTAGAACTAAGGGTGTACATAACTGGTTTTTATACTGTGTTAATATCTAATTTAGTCATGGGTGTTACCATTGTAGCTGTTTCACTTGATACTAACATAACTGTCACTATTTCTCTGTTATCCAATACTCAGGTTCCTTTGTAACATTAACAATACTAGAGTCCATTCCCAGAGAACTGCTGGGCTACACTGTATCATCCTCTCCTAAAATAACCAAGGTGGTAGAATCTTGGGGCTGTGCTAAAGGATTATAGTTATTAGACATGCCCAAAATACATCACTGAAAAGCAATTAAAGAGATCTCTACAACTAGTAACAAAGTCTTTAGACTATAAGCATCCACAACTATAGCACAAAGCAAAAGAAAAACAATACAGATGTGGGAAGAAAAGGCAACAGAACACCCAGTTCCCTAGAAACAAATCCAGCAGGCATCAAGAAGCAAATAGCAGAAGCCATGCACCAGAATCAGTGGAACACATAGCGGAGGCGGCTAGAAAACAGCTCAGAGAGATTTAGCAGGACTTGAGAAGATATAACTCAACAGATAATGGATGTAATAACTAGAAAGATGCAGGAGCTCTTGGAAGACACTAATAAAAAGCTAGATGAGTTAAAGTGATACAAAATATGAATGACCAGTTTACCAAAGAATTAGAGTATATGAAAATGTTTCACTCAGAAATTCAGGGATTAAAAATCATACTGAAAGTACAGGCAGCAGGATGAACCAATGTGAAGATAGAATTTAACAATTAGAAGACAGTCATGTCTTCAAAGACCAACTATTCAAAGATACTTGAAAACAATGAGAAAACATGATCCAACAACTGCTAGATAATGCAAAGACTAAGAATAACTGGAAATAAGTGAAAATTCAGGAGACAACACAAATGGCCTAAAAAACCTGTTCACAGAAATAACTGGAGAAAACTTCCCAAATAAAGGGAAAGAAACATAGAGGTAAGTGAGACATACAGAACACCATACCTATGACCAAAGGAGAACCTTTCCTGGCATATTAGACTCAAAATTCCAGAAGTCTATCACTAGAATAAAATCCTAAAAGCTGCTATAAAAAGGCAACAACTCACACACAAAGGTAAACCCAGTAAATTCACAGTAAACTTCTCTACACAAAACTTAAAGACCAGGAGACCTTGCAGTAAAGTGTTCCAGCCTTAAAAGATAACAACTTCCACTCCCAAATTATGTATCCTGCAAAACTTTCCTTTAAAATGATGGAGAAATAAGGTATTTCCATGAGAAGGAGCACCTCAAGAAATTCATCACCATCAAACCAGCATTACAAAAAAATTCTCAGAAAATATCCTAGAAAGAGAATGAAGCCAATAATGTCAGTAAGTCAAAAGAATGACAATACCTGGTGGCATGAACAGGTAAGCAAAAGGGAAAAATGAGGAAATCAGGTAACAGGAAAATAATGCAATGACAGGAATGTCAGTACCTCTTGGTAATAATAACTCTCAATGAGAACTGTTTCAGTTTCCCAGTCAAAAGACACAGTTTGGCAGAACAGATTAAGAAAGAAAACAACAATATGTAGTCTACAAGAAACACATTTAATTAAAAAAAAATTCACAGATTAAAAATATCAAAGGATGGAAAGCAGTACTCCATGAAGCAGGAACCCATATAAAAGCAAGAATTGCCATTGCCATCCTACTTTTAGAAAAAGTGGACTTCAAGCTAAAACTCATCAGAAGAGACAAAGGTCACTACATGAATTGTTAAAAGAACACTTCAACAGAAGAGTTAACATTTATATACATACCAGATACTGGCCTACAACTTAATAAAACAAACACTAATGGCCATGAAAAACCGGATAAACACCAATACAATAGTAATGTGAGACTTCAATAGCCTACTGTCACAAATAGATGAATTACAGAAAAAAAATCAACAAAGAAGTATCAGTTGAACCAAACCTTTGAACAAATTGATTAAATAGATATCTACAGTGTTCTGTCCAATAACAATACACATTCTCAGCAGCACATGGGACTTTCTCCAAAATATACCATGTATTAGCCAATGAAGCATGCTTGAATAAATGCACAAGAATCAAAATTATCTCATGCATATTATCAGACCATAGTGCACTGAAACTAGAAATAAATGGCAAAAGAAACCACAGAAACTATGCAAACAGAAGGAAATTAAATAATAACCTCCTGAATAATCAATGGTTCACAGAGAAATTAAAGAAGAAATTAGAAAATTTCTACATACAATAATATCAGTAACAACATATCAGAACCTATGGGACACAATGAAAGCAGTCATAGGAGGGAAGTTCATAGTGAAATCAACATCAGAAAAAAAGAATGCACCTCAAATAACCTAACAATGCACCTCAAAGTCCTAGAGAAATAAGAACAATCCAAACCAAAGCTAATACAAGGAAGGAAGTTAAAAGATCCAGGGCAGAAATTAATGAAGTTGAGACTTAAAAAAAAAATATAAAGAATGAATCCAGGAGTTGCTTCTTCAAAAGATTAAACAAAATAGACAAACTCTTGGCCAACCTTACTGAAATAAGGAAAGAAAAGATGCAAATACAATCAGAAATAAGAAAGATCTAGTTTGATAATTATAAGGTCTTATAAATAAATGAATCTGAGATGGAAAAATTAAAAGGGGTTGGAGGGAAGAGGTAAAAAAGAAATACGTACATGTACCCATTCCCTACAGTAAATCTAATCATTATGCACCGTAAACATGAGCTAATAAGAGTGAAAAAAAATCTAGCTTTTGGCTGTAGCATAAGGGCTGGTCCTAATCATCTGGGTTGCCATATCTAAACATGTTTCCCAAGAAAAAGAAATCAATGTCTGTTATGGTTTGTATCTGGGTGTCCCCCCAAAGCCTCATGCGGCCATGGGGCAGGCTTCAAGAGTTTGATTAAGGGTGTGAGAGCTGCACCCGCCCTGGGGTGGATAGTTTGCATATGTAAGGGAGAGGAAGAGAGTGCTTGAGGCCATTCCTCCCCCATTCC